TTACGAATCTCAAATAAGAAACATTAACTTACAAATCTCAAATAAGAAACATTAACTTACGAATCTCAAATAAAAAACATTAACTTACGAATCTCAAATAAGAAACATTAACTTACGAATCTCAAATAAGAAACATTAACTTACGAATCTCAAATAAAAAACATTAACTTACGAATCTCAAATAAGAAACATTAACTTACGAATCTCAAATAAGAAACATTAACTTACGAATCTCAAATAAGAAACATTAACTTACGAATCTCAAATAAAAAACATTAACTTACAAATCTCAAATAAGAAACATTAACTTACGAATCTCAAATAAGAAACATTAACTTACGAATCTCAAATAAGAAACATTAACTTACGAATCTCAAATAAGAAACATTAACTTACGAATCTCAAATAAAAAACATTAACTTACGAATCTCAAATAAGAAACATTAACTTACGAATCTCAAATAAGAAACATTAACTTACGAATCTCAAATAAGAAACATTAACTTACGAATCTCAAATAAAAAACATTAACTTACGAATCTCAAATAAGAAACATTAACTTACGAATCTCAAATAAAAAACATTAACTTACGAATCTCAAATAAGAAACATTAACTTACGAATCTCAAATAAGAAACATTAACTTACGAATCTCAAATAAGAAACATTAACTTACGAATCTCAAATAAGAAACATTAACTTACGAATCTCAAATAAAAAACATTAACTTACGAATCTCAAATAAGAAACATTAACTTACAAATCTCAAATAAGAAACATTAACTTACGAATCTCAAATAAGAAACATTAACTTACGAATCTCAAATAAGAAACATTAACTTACGAATCTCAAATAAGAAACATTAACTTACGAATCTCAAATAAGAAACATTAACTTACGAATCTCAAATAAGAAACATTAACTTACGAATCTCAAATAAGAAACATTAACTTACGAATCTCAAATAAAAAACATTAACTTACGAATCTCAAATAAGAAACATTAACTTACGAATCTCAAATAAAAAACATTAACTTACAAATCTCAAATAAGAAACATTAACTTACGAATCTCAAATAAGAAACATTAACTTACGAATCTCAAATAAAAAACATTAACTTACGAATCTCAAATAAGAAACATTAACTTACGAATCTCAAATAAGAAACATTAACTTACGAATCTCAAATAAGAAACATTAACTTACGAATCTCAAATAAGAAACATTAACTTACGAATCTCAAATAAGAAACATTAACTTACGAATCTCAAATAAGAAACATTAACTTACAAATCTCAAATAAGAAACATTAACTTACGAATCTCAAATAAAAAACATTAACTTACGAATCTCAAATAAGAAACATTAACTTACGAATCTCAAATAAGAAACATTAACTTACGAATCTCAAATAAAAAACATTAACTTACGAATCTCAAATAAGAAACATTAACTTACGAATCTCAAATAAGAAACATTAACTTACGAATCTCAAATAAGAAACATTAACTTACGAATCTCAAATAAAAAACATTAACTTACAAATCTCAAATAAGAAACATTAACTTACGAATCTCAAATAAGAAACATTAACTTACGAATCTCAAATAAAAAACATTAACTTACGAATCTCAAATAAGAAACATTAACTTACGAATCTCAAATAAGAAACATTAACTTACGAATCTCAAATAAGAAACATTAACTTACGAATCTCAAATAAGAAACATTAACTTACGAATCTCAAATAAAAAACATTAACTTACGAATCTCAAATAAGAAACATTAACTTACGAATCTCAAATAAGAAACATTAACTTACGAATCTCAAATAAGAAACATTAACTTACGAATCTCAAATAAAAAACATTAACTTACGAATCTCAAATAAGAAACATTAACTTACGAATCTCAAATAAAAAACATTAACTTACGAATCTCAAATAAGAAACATTAACTTACGAATCTCAAATAAAAAACATTAACTTACAAATCTCAAATAAGAAACATTAACTTACGAATCTCAAATGGCAAATTTGGAATTAACTACAATTTCAGAACGACGAATGAGAGGTGATTTGATTTAGTATATTAAAATTAACAAGAACTTTAATGACGTCAAGTTCCTAAATCCAAATATAACACCCACATTTTTTTCAAATTGTCCAGCGGGAAACTTACAAAACAATTTTCACAATCAAGCCATATTTAGAGAAATTTCAAATATCTTGCAAAGTCATAACTTCCTACCTAATAGGATTGTATTTCCTCACATTCTGTAAACGAATTTAAATACAAATATGATAATTTATGTCGCTCCACTAGAATAAAATCTACTATAGCAAGGCCTCGTTAGATGTTCAGTTCATAGAAGCTAACTAATTTCATTGTAGGTTATTTATAATAAAAAACAAGAAGAAGAAAATCTAACAATCCTTTATAAATTTGTTTATTGACAAGTTTTTTAAACTTTGATTGGTTATCAATTTCTTAACCAGTCATGATAATGACCTCTAGTCGTGACCTTTAGCGATCTATGATCTCAAATTTTTTGAATTTAAATAGTACTTCATTTTAGTTTTGAAAAATCATGAAAAGTTTTTACTTTTTACAACTGTGTGATGAAAATGCAAAAAAAAATTAGTGTTAAAAAAAAGCTTCTTTAGAGAACAACCATTTCGCTGTTTTTTACTTTGGAACCAGAATAGACGTCAGTTGATTGATCAAGTTATGTTACATGTTCTTTTTACATACTGTTTAATAACAGATAATTGGTCTTTTAGTTTATTTATGAAATTACATTTAATTCATCTAATGCTTTCTAAAAATATAAAAGTTAATCAAAAGCTAATAAAAAGATGATTTGCGAATTTTAAATAATTTAATTCGTCTGTAGATTCATAGCAGTTAATTAGTTATATAACTTAATGGAAATTCTAACAGGGGCCATTTTACGGCCTTTTTTTCTTTATAAATAAATAATTGTATGGAAACTTTTTAAAAAATTGAATAGAATTGAAAAAATGACTGGCTTTTGGGATACATTTTGAGTAGGGTATTATTTCTACCCAAAAAATCATTCTTAAATTCTCAACTAAATGATTGCAAAGTGAAAAAATTAAAATTACTGTAACCTTCTGCTTAGCCTAATTAAATATAATTCTTAAATATTTAAATTTAATAATTAATTGCACTTTTCAAAAATGTCAGCGCTTTATCAAATTTTTTAAATCATAATTTTTGTTTTGTATACAGAAAGTACAGTTTGTATACTCTTGTATTTTGAACTCATACACTTCGAAAGATTTTTTAAATCAAGCAAATTTTTTGGTCCCATAAGGGTTTAATATCTAGGATTGAACTCCTAGTTATTAAACTCCTAGTTAATAATTTGAAAACTCTTATCATTTGAGCATATTTTAAGACACCTTGAGGATTAAAAGTACATGGGTTCAACTGTATACAAAACATGCGTGTTTGCTAACGGTATAAATTATAATAATAATAATTTTGTTAGTCATCTTTAGTTGTTATTATAGTGTGTTTTTTTGTGTTATTATAACGTGTTTTTCTTGTTTCTTGCAAAGCTGGTAAAAGTTGCATAAACCTTAAACTAATAGTTTATGGTATTAAACTATTAAAAAAGATGGCAGTTGTATATAAAGGTTACAACTATTTACGACAGTGAAGTTATATATAGTTCTTGCTCATTCCACCCATGAAATTCAAAACTACTAATATCAAAAGTATGCATATTAGGGTGGATCGATTTTAAGAAAAAAAAAGTTTAAAAATTAATATTCCTGAGACACGATTTGATGTCTATTAACTATAATATAAAAGTAAAAAAATATTTGTTGATTTTGATGAGATCTTGAGGCTCCTCTTTGGATTCTAAATCCTTGACGGATCCTAACATTTTTGAATTTTTTTTTTCTAAACTATATCAAGCTTGGACTTAAAAAAAAAAAAAAAATATATATATATATATATATATATATATATATATATATATATATATATATATATATATATATATATATATATATATATATATATATATGTATATATATATATATATATATATATATATATATATATATATATATATATATATATATATATATATATATATATATATATATATATATATATATATATATATATATATGTATATATACATACATACATATATGCGAATAGATAGATCAGTGGCAGATTTCGACTTTTTGGGACCCGGGGTTATTTTAAATCAGAAGACCCTTTTTTATGTTATTGATTTTATTTTTAGATTTTATTTTGAAAAAAATCTTTTATTTGAAATAGGGTCCTCAAAACTGCGGGATCTCAGGCTATAGTCTCTTAGCCCTCCCCTCCCTTAATCCAGCACTGAGGTAGATAGAAATAATAACAACTTTTCTTTTTGAGTGCCCTTTTTTAAAAATATGAGATGATTAAGTAAACTGTTAAATGGGGTATTTTCTTCTCCCCCCCCCCCCCCCCTATATAAATGGTTTTATCAAAAATACTGGACGTAGAATTGTGTAGTATAATTCAAGTAGTCAGTTCAAGAACACAAATCTCTCTATATGTAATCTGAACAAGCAGTTTGCAAGCAATGAATACTCTAAACAGCTATAATAATCGTTTTTAATACTTTCTCAAACAATTTTTATTGACATCATCTGTGTTAATTGTGACACCATTAGTATTACTCAATATGTTAAAAGTCATATTTAATAGAAAAAATACTTTGACAACTAAATAGATATTTAAATAGATATTTTTTAATTAGATAAGGATATCTTACAAACAATAAATAATTAAACAAATTATCGATAGATCTAATCTTTCGTAAATATTTTTAAACTTGATGTCTATTTTAATAAACCTGTATAATAAATAATTAAAATGCGCAAAAATGGAATCTTTTGTCATAAGCTGAAAATTATAAAACCAATTATCTGTTATGAAACAATTCGTATATAACCAAATGTGTACATAATTAGGTCAAACTTGTAAAAGAAAGTTCAATGCACTAGTTTCAAATTATACGTTATAGCATAAATATAGCATATACTTACAAGAAATTATAAAATAAATAATACCGTAAACGTACAATACTCGTAGCATATGCGTAAAATAAGTTAAAAAAAAATTAAAAATGATTGTTAAACTATCTATCTTGGTTTTGTGTTCAGGTATAATTATTTTGAATTACTTAAATTAAGTTGTATAACTGAAAGTGAGGAAAACTTTATAATAGAAATCTGTTTTTCATGTTTATTTTTGTAAAGTTTTCTTACGTATTGTTATTATTAAATTTTTATTTATATCTTTGAACCAATCAATTTTTAAGTTTTAGGATTAAATTCTTTATCTACAACACTAAATCCTGTTGATTTAACTGAAGCAATTTCGGACACTTCAGCAAATGATCTAGCAGACAATTTAAACTCAATTCCATCAAAACAGGAACCTACACCTGTTGCACCGCCATGTATTTATTTTGACTTTGTATTTAATTTTTAATTTTTATCAATTTAACTTTTAATTTTTGTCAATTGTTGTGTTAACAATTACTTTGCTTACATATTCGTAAGATGTAATTTTCTACACATTGTACAGGTCCACAAAGTCTTTGCAATAGAATGAATAATGGCAAATACGAAATAGTTGGCTATCCTCACGATTTTGTTCAATGTTCTAATGGGGTAGCTTTTTGTCAATCATGCTGGCCTCAAAGTTTATTTTTTAGTCAAGCTTGTAACCAGTGTTTATACAAAAAAGAAGGTACCTTTTTTTACTTTAAAAAAACTATGAAAGAGAGTGTTTATTTCAAATAAATATTATTGCATATAACTTTAACTACAATATGTTACAACTATTTAAAATAAACAACATAATTAACATAATTAACCTAATTCAACATTTTAAATCAAAAAAACTATATAACACAAATTAAGATAAACTTCAACTTTTTTAGACTCTTGTTACACAAAAAAAGCGTGGAAACCTCAGTCTACTTACCCATGTCCAGATGCCTGCCCAAGTAAAGGACCTAACTTTTCAGGAAATATTGCCGACAACGTTTCAAACGGAGGCGCTGGAAATCCGTATCAATACATTGGTTGCTGGAAAGGCGTTACTCAAGGGTGCGTTGTTTGCCCAGCAGGTTTAAAGTTTAACGAACAATCAAACGCTTGTTTGTTTGATGGAATCTATCAAACTAAACCTAATTAAAGTTCTATTGTATTTTATAGCATTTAAACTGTAGGTGCCATACGACCAATTAGACTTTGTAAATGTATAAAATGTTTTTAAATTAGAATTTCAATTAAACTTTTTTCGAATATTATTGACATTTTTTCTATGCAAGCTCCTACTATAAGATAAATTTTTTATACTTTTTCAATTAGTTTAACTTTTTATACTGATGAAAAAATAGCTTTTAAACTAAATTTTTATACTTTTAAATAAAAAAATAAATTCAAAGCTCTGTTATCTCCCCAACTATAAATAATAAATGTTTTTCCGGGTTGTTTATTTCCAAAGATTTTTGCAATTTTTAATTTGAGTAAAATTTCATAAGAAATCATGAAAATTTTATTTGGTGCAATTATTTAAAAGTTTAGTAAAAATTAATATCAAGCAGTCACAATCAAAAGTTTGAAACAAAATTGTTGATTATGTTAGCAATCGTAACAATTGACAACAATCGAGATAGTTGACACTGTATAAAAAAACATAATTTTTTTTATTAAATTACTCATTTTTATCTTATAAAAAAATATTAGTAATCATGACAATTGACAAAAAGTATAACTTTTTTTAAACCAAAGTTCTTACCACTACACCACGGCTGCTATAAAATCATTGTTTATTATTATTATTATTATTATTATTATTATTATTATTATTAACTTTAAAGTATTAGTAAATATTCGCTTATTAATTTAATACTTGGAATGGTGTCTGAGTTTGCAAACAATTAGCTTAACATGGAGGCATAGAAAAAAAAATCTTTCTCAAATAATCAGGAGTCATAAGTTGAATCTTTTTCTGCTTTTTTTGTCGTAGATCATGAGAAGATTAAGTTGTAAGTTTAGATTGAGGGTCAATGACCTTAATCCCATTCTCTCGATAACTATTTACAATCTTGGTCCTCTAACAGGGTATTCGATCATACTAAAATTTATGGGTATAAGTGATATTTATGAATATTTTGAGTTTTTCTTGAAGAAGGGTAGAGCGGAGCTAGTTAAGCATAGAGGCAAATTTTTTTGTTTACAAAGTTTAGCAATTAAAATATCTCAAAAACTAAACACCGTATGACAAAATATCTAATAGATAAAAGTTAGGGTATTAAAATATTAACACAATGCGCAACCAAAAATGCTGGACAACTGTCGAGTAAGATATACGAGCACACTTTTTGTTTTGGACCAAAAAAGTGAAGAAATAAATTAGTGGCTACTTTTTTCCTAAATGCTTATAAATTTTTACCACTGCCATTACTTAAGTGTTGTTTTTCTTACTTAAGTTAGTTTTACCTATTTATCGGACTTACTATAATTGTTAGCTGTTTTTTTAAGTTTTCTACTTAAAATGAGTCATCTTGTCTAGTTAAAGTGAGTTGAGCAGCTTCGAAAAAATTCAATAATTCAACAGTCAGACATCGGACATCATCCGATCATTTTGACTGACGTTATTATGAATTCTACGACTCCTTTTTTGAGGCGGGAGCAATTCCTTTAATAAACAGGCCAACTAGAGTAACAAAATACTAGGCGTCTTTGATCGATAATATTATTACAACAGATATATTCAACAATGATATTCAAACAGGTATCCTAAAATCTGATATAACTGACCATTTTCCAATATTTTTGACAATTAATTCTGAAATTAAAAATAAAATAAAAAAAATTTAAATCCGCATTTTTAACCATACAAATATAAAGTTGTTTAAAAACCAACTATCGTTACTGCACTGGAAGCATATTAACTTCAATGACAATGCAGACAAAATTTATGATTTTTACTCCGTTTATGACGCAAACTTTCCTATTATGGAAAAGACATAAAACTCAAAAAAATAAAAATAACCCTTGGATAACAAAAGGATTTAAAAAATCATCCAAGATTAAACAGAAGCTATATATAAAATATCTTAAAACAAAATCATCAGATAATGAGAAAATATATAAAAATTATAAATATCTCTTTGAAAAAGTTCTTTGAAAAAAAATTATTACACAAGACTCCTAGATAAATTCAAAAATAATACAAAACGCAATTAGCAAATAATGAACAAAATTACTGGCAGACAAAAAAAATGCTCAGGTTCTCTTCCCCAGATGGTTATAGTGGATAACAAACGCATATGCAAACCAAAAGCTATAGCTCATGAGTTTAATAAATTCTTCACTGACATCGGTCCTAAACTAGCAAATAAAATTCCTTATACCAAAGCAACATTTAACGATTTTCTAGTACAGATGGATAACTGCATTAGTTCCAACGAATTTTTTTATGAGCTAACTTTTCATGAACTCGAAAAAGCATTAAAATCCCTTAAAAAAACAGAGCAGGCGGAGCAGATGGCATAAACGGTTATATAATTATAGAATGTTTTGAACAATTAAAAGATATACTTTTTAAGGTTTATGGAGCATCTATCCACCAAGGAGTTTTTTTGGATCAATTAAAAATTGCTAAAATTACCCCAATTTTGAAAGAGGGAGATCAAACAAATATCAGTAATTATCGTCCTATCTCCGTCCTCTGCACATTCTCAAAAATACTAGAACGCATTATGTATAATAGATTATACAATTATCTCCTTTCTAATAATTTGTTATACGCCAACCAGTTTGGTTTTAAAAAAAATAATTCGACGGAATTATCCAACTTGTACGTGGAATTTCAAATTCTTTTGAAAAATCTAAATTTACACTAGGTATTTTTATCGACCTATCGAAGGCGTTCGATACTGTAGATCATGAAATTTTGATACAAAAACTGAAATACTATGGAATAAATTACAAAGTTATAAAATGGTTCCGAAGTTATTTATCTAACCGTAAGCAATTTGTTTTTAGTAATAGTTGTTATCCAAATGAGTTCCTAAATGTTTCATGTGGCGTTCCCCAAGGTTCCATTTTGGAACCACTGTTGTTCTTGATTTATATAAACGACCTAAATAAAGCCTCAAATTTAATGAGTATAATGTTTGCTGATGACACCAACTTATTTCTTTCTAATAATGATATTTACAAACTCTTTTCTAGTATGAACGATGAACTTAAAAACATATCAAAATGGTTTAAATGCAATAAGCTAACTCTCAACAGTAACAAAACAAAATGGATTCTCTTTCATCCAATCGCAAAAAAACCTTATTTGCCCCAAAATTTACCAGAAATCTTTATTGATAATACTGTGATAAAAAGACACTATGTCACAAAGTATTTGGGTGTTTTTCTTGATGAAAACATCACATGGAAAGCGCATATTGACTATATTAGCACAAAAATTTCTAAAAGCATTGGAATTTTATATAAATCCAGAATATATCGATGTAAAAAAAATTTAAAAAAATTACACTACTCATTTATTCATACCTATTTAAATTATGCAAATATTGCTTGGGGAAGCACAGAAAAAAGCAAGTTACAAGGTCTTTACCGCCGTCAGAAGCATGCGATCCGTTTAATTAATTTTGCGGATCGATACACTCATTCCAAACCTTTTTTTATTGAAATGAAAATTCTTAATATTTACGAGCTTAATGTGTTTAATGTTTCATGCTTTATGTATTTGTGGAAAAATGACTTATCCCTACCTATCTTTAAAGTTCTCTTTTGTGAAAAACCAATAAATAAATACACTTTTAGAAATAATAAATTTTTGCATAAACCTTTTTTTCGAACAAAGTTTAACCAGTATGGTATTGCTCATCGTGCGCCATACCTTTGGAATAAAGTCGTTTTGCCAAATTTTGATATATTTTACACTTTTCCAATTTTCAAACATTAACTCAAAAATTTAATTTTATTTTCCGATGACATAATAAGGTTCTTCTAATTGTAATTATGTACTTTTATTTAGAACTTTTTTAATTGTAAAATACGTTTTATGTAACGACTCTTTTTGTTTTACTTTTCTGTTTATTTAATATATAGATTATATACATTGTAAATAATTATGCTAAATGCTTGTAAAAGGTTCTGAGGATAAGATCAGTACGATCTTCTTTCAGAAATCTTGTTTGTATTTGTTAAAGTATTGTATTACGACAAATGTAAACTTAAAATGTGAAAAAAAAAATATATTTATATATATATATACTTTATGTAATTAAATGAATAAAAACAACTAAATAGCGGGACTTAAATTTTCATGCTCGAAGGCAATCATCAGCCGTGAATACAAACAAAAAACGTCAAAAAACCGTTTTTAAAACTAAAATTAAAATTAAATACCGTATAACGGATTCAGACGTGATGAACAAATCTGAGTAAAAACAAAACAAGAAGCCGTTATAGTTTACTAGTCTTTTGTGTCAAATAAAGGGAGCAAGAATTTCTTTGAATGTTGACACTGAGATACAATTTCATTCTTTTTGTTTACTTAAATAATGTGTAACTAATAACAAAATATATTTTTTTGTTACCTGCATTATTATTTGTAGCTTGGTAAACAATATTGTTGGACAAACACTGTTTGTTTAATGGATAAATTGATTTATTTACACAGTTATATTGCTTGGTTTTTATTTGCTTGTTGTTGTGCAATATTTTATGATTGTGTGAGTTGATTATTGATTTTAGGTTAGGCATGCAGCTGAAACTAATCTTGATAGAATTTCGATTAAATATTTTGTGAAGCTTGTGACCTGATGGAAAATGAAAATCTATAAGAGCCAGAAAACGATTACCTATTTTTGTTTGGATATTTACACTACGGAGGATAGTACCAAATTATATTTCGTTTGCTTTGTGCTTGGGTTTGTTGTAGTTGGTAGATGAGCTTTGAGTTATGTCTTGATTTCTTTAGAGCTTCTTCATATTGTGGAGTAGCATTCATGAAAGAAGTTTTGTTTAATGACATGGAAGATAATCTTTGTTCGATATTGCGAGGGATTGCTTTAATTATGCTCGGAGAGTGGTTAGAGTTAGTGTGGATATACCTCAGTTTGTTGTCAGGTTTGCAGTAAGGTTGGAATGAGTTGTTATCTAGATTCAACGTAACATCAAGATAGTTTACAATTTTATTATTAGCTTGGATAGTGATGAGTAGATCGTATTTTACACCGCAATACTAACCTCACCTCAAATATATATATATATA